ATATGTTAAATAAGTAGTCGCGGACAACCAACAAGGACTGATCTTCCAGCTTAGGAGTTGGGCATGGGGCAAACAACTTCTCACCGTAAAAAAGTAAGCTTGTTACGAAAGATCACAAGAAGCCTCGTACCAGTGGATGGCTCTTGTGAACACGGTGATGAACCTTCGATTTCCATAAAATACTGGGAAATTATTGAGTAGCTGCACAATTGGTGGCTTCTCAAGAAGGGCTCAGCTCCATGAGAGAGTGTTGAAAGTGACACAGGAGAAGGATAGTTAGGAACAATCTTCTTAGTTCAGGTAAAGGAAAAAGAAAATAAATATAGAAAGCCCAACACAAACCGAAGGACTTTTCATGAGCAGATTATACAACATAAAACATTTATTGTGAGTGAGATAGGGAAGTTTGTGATTTTTATCCTGCGAACAGAGATTCAGGTTGTATCAAACACACTGTGTTAATGAAGATTGGCCTTGCAAGTCCAATAACAAACTTTATTTTTTCTGTTGACATAAATATTTATTACGTTGCCACGTGAACGTCATGAGTTCATTTCGATAAAGCAGGATAAAATGAGTATTGGTTCGTGTTACTAGAGCTTCCCGTGCCAAACCGACAACATAGAAAACGATTTCACTCTCTGATAATCTCATAAGCTGATTGTAGTCGACAGGCGCGAATAAACCTAAATACTAACGTCCGTCCGCACTACTACAATAAGCTGATTCCCGATTTACAATCTTGAAATGCAGTGCTAATGTAGAAATAGCTCAAACGCATCAGGGCCACTAATCTATATAAATCATTCAATCTGAGACTATGATACGATATACAGAACACATACATTGCGAGTAATATCAAACAAACGTTGTGAATTTAAGTAATCCTTAAAATATCTCTTTCACTAACTGAATGACCGTATACCAAGGAGGAAGTGAGTACCGAGCAAGTTCTTTAGCGGCTATGCCCTAGAACTGTGTTCGGGAGTTCATTAGTTCGAATCTCGGCTGGACACTGGTTATCCTGAAGTTTCCGCTGTTTTTCTGAGGACCTGTAAGCAAGTATTGGGATTGTATCTCGACTAGGTCACGGCTGCTTCCTTCCAAGTCTTCCCCAACTCATTAGTCACCAATTCTCTCACCAATAGACGCGATGCTGTCTGAGATACCGACAGCGCAGTAGAGAAAAACTCACAAGAAAACATGATGCACGATGATTTTGAGCAAGGGTGTTTATAATTTCAGCCGATATTTTGAACTGCATCAACAGTGAAGATAAAGGTGAAGACATGAAAGTATAAAGCCCATCACAGTTGCCTCGCTGCCTCAGGTAGCCTTTGCCCGCTCGAACAATGTGGTCGTTGGTTCGAGTCCTATTTGAGGCATTGATGATTATTTGTTTTTACTCTGTGTCTGTGTTATTCTGTATGTAGGTAGCAGCCTTGCGACCAGCTGATAATCCGTCCAAGGCGTCCTACCGACTGCGTATAAGATTAAGAAACTGAAATAAAAAGCAGCTAAGGTCCAAAAGTCTGTAGAGCCATAGAGAGAAAATTGAATGTATAAAAGAAAGACACAGAATATAATTCAAAAGTATTAAAGTTTTCTACTAATTAGACACAATTTATCAGTAGCCGACAATATGACGTCAAATAATACAGGAATATACAATAAAGAAACCGGATTCATGCTCTAACCCTTTATTAAAAANCACAGGAATGTATGATTTTAACAAGTGAATAAGCTTATACGGACCATTCAGTACGGGCAACCAAAAGACGACAATAAGACACACGAGTTTAACTAGAATTTACTCAGATTAAGTAAACTACGAATTCTATGTGAGCTCGGTTTCTCTGAACATGCTAACCTGAAACAGAATTACTGCTGCAAGTCTCCTCACACTCCTGCTCTTTTAGGCAGAATAGAAGCGTAAGATGAGAAGGGAAAAGAATATTGCATTGAGGCTCTCGAGGTAGTGACTAATTACGAGTGTTCGTAGTGTTCTATATTCTTGGAGGTAATTGCGTATCCAACATTATCACCAATTATACGAAACAAAATCTATCTTCCTAATTCGTTCTAGTAATTTTTTTCCCTTGGCACTACAGCCCCAGTGGGCCTAAGCCTACCTCCATGAACTTCTCCGTTCACTTCGGTTTTTTCTAGATCTTACAAATTCGGTAGGACTCCTTGGGCGGGTGATCAGCAAAGCCTCTACCTGTACACAATCACAGAAAAACGCACACACACACACTAAATATCCATGCTCTGAGTGGGATTCGAACCCACGATCCCGGTTTCCAAGAGAGCAAAGACAGTACATGCCTTAGACCGCTCGGCTACCGTGACCGGCCGTTCTAGTAATTGGCCTACCATAATTTAGAGCCTAGTATATTTTTCCTAGAAATAGAACTGATATCAACTCACATAGAAGAGTCACGAAGAATTCATTTACACGTCAATTACACTCTGAGAAAACAAAAGGGATAGTTACTTACACGGAGGGACTAACGTTCGCATATGAAATAAAAATATGATGTTACAACATTTTAAATTAAACAACGTTTGTGAGACAACTGAGTTTTCAGTCCGTGCTCTCTTGTGTATAGTCGGATTACTTGACATTATAATCCTCCTCACTAATTTATACATGATTATTTTAGTCTTTTTTTACACAAGAATATTGTCTGGGTTGTACACGTAAGTTTAACTGTCCAGGCTTTTTCAAAAGTATGTAATATTAACATAGGTAACTCAACCTTAGCCGGTCACGGTAGCCGAGCAGTCTAAGGCATGTACTGTCTTCGCTCGCTTGGAAACCGGGATCGTGGGTTCGAATCTCACTCAGGGCATGGATGTTTAGTTTGTGTGTGTTTTTCTGTGTTTGTGTACAGGTAGAGGCCTTGCGACTTGCTGATCACCCACCCAAGGAGTCATACCGAATGTGTAAGATCTAGAAAAATCGAAGTGAACGGAGAAGTTCATGGAGGTAGGCCTAAGCCCACTGGGGCTGTAGTGCTAAGGAAAACAGGAACTCAACCTTAAGCGCAACAAAATAGTGGTAAAATTGGAGCTGAAGTTGGGGCCATTTAATAATATTTGTTGCTTCCCGTCTCTTCCTTTTCTCATCATGTCTATGGTAAATTTACAAGCAGGACCTTCTTACAACTGGAAGTGTTGTTAGTCACGTAGATCAGGGAAACAAAATTGAACATTTCCATTCCCTTCGATTCCAGTTAACTGGATGAATATAACGCCATAAGCTTCTTTTCAAGAGTTAAGATTCATTGAAAATTAGTACTACAATTTAAGTTCAATAAAAAGTTGCTTTAAAAGAACACTCCATGACGTAGGAAGCTAAAAATATACAAATGAAGAAAGGTAATTCTCATGTTGTCAGTCATAACATAATTTAACTTAATTGACTCTTTAATAGCCTACAAACACGCAATATTAAATAACTTTTCATTCCCGTGTTTTTTTCAGAATCCACTAGAAAATTCCATGTGTTGTTTACTGTTTTATATGAAACACAAAGTTGAAGTCTCCTAGGAAGAAACACAGAATAATGAATTTTAAGAACAATTATTTTGAGTGAACATCTGGATCTAAGAGTGACTAACTAAGCACGTAAACGTACAAATTAATAAATTGAATCCTCATACAGTTCTATTGCGACAGTTGTATGAAAAGTGGTTATCGAACCTAAACGTTGAGTGGTAACATTTTTTTTTCCTTGGCACTACAGCTCCACTGGGCCTAGGCCTACCTCCATGAACTCCGTTTACTTCGGTTTTTCTAGATCTTACACATACGGTAGGACTCCTTGGGCGGGTGATCAACTGGTCGCAAGGCGTCTACCTGTACACAAACATCCATGCCCTGAGTAGGATTCGAACCCACGATGCCGGCTTCCGAGCGAGCGAAGACAGTATATGCCTTAGACCGCTCGGCTACCGTGACCGGCGAGCGGTAACATTACAGTTTCTTATTTGACAGGTACCGGGTTCAAGTATGCGTCCTGACACCAAAAGACATGGCTGATGAGTTTCGCATTATTCTTCAGGTTCTTCGGTCAAATTATGGAACAGCAATTCAGTTTAGGTCAGGACCACCTTCTTCCATATCTTTCCTATTCAATATTCAATCATCCTATCATTGAAATCTGCATAAACTGAGCTACTGAACGCGTCGTTAAAGAAACGATAAGTGGGTAAAGGAGGAAGGTTAATATGGCCCAGAGATATTAAAAGCAAAAGGGAAACAAGAAATGCGTATAAATTGTTAGTTTAAGGATTCTCGTGGAAAGACATCAAATGGAAGACGTGCCGGCGTTTGATAACCAAAGGGAAAATGTATCCTTGACTCTGCAAAAATTTAAGTTCTTTTGCACATTAAGTCTATTGTCTTTGGTAAATAAATTCACCTGAAACCAAACAGACATCAGCTACATGGCACGGTATTATAAGGAGATTGAACAATATATGACGCAAACTCCGTTCTAAGTGCAACAATTTATTGTAGTTCTTTCGTCTTCCTTTCTTCTTCACTACATGTTTCGGCCGTAAATGGCCATCATCAGGTGTATACTGTCACGTAGCTGCTACACTNATCCCCACTGATATCTGTCAGATATGTATAAAATCTTTGTTAATCTACACGCGTCAATTTGATTTTTAAAAACTGGCACTTTCAAAATCTTCAATTCCAGTTTAAACATTTCTTTAAAATTTTGTCAAATTTTAAAATTTAAAATTCTCAGGGGTACCCGCCCTACGTCTATAGTGCTGCAGCGGCTACTTCTTGTGTTCAGCACTATTCAGGTGTGTAGGCTCTCTGTGTGCGTGCCGCTGCTTACCTTTAATAGACATAAATAAATATTCATTTCGTACAACTATATATTATCTATACCCACTGCCCCACATTAACCACTTGCTTGCTGTCTGATAATGAAACCTCTGTGGGCACGTAATATCTCACAAATGTGTATTTTTCAGATGTGCCGAAGTTTGGGGAGCCAATCACGAACGTAACGGTGCCAGTTGGGCGCGAGGCGACGCTGACATGTGTAGTGGACGACCTTGCCACTTACAAGGTAAATTCTCCATCAACAAAGCAACTACGTAATTGTGAAGCAGTCCGGTTACCCTCCTACTTGTATAAAAGTGTTCTGTAACTATGGGATGAAACCTCTCAAATGACGGAATTTCAAGTGACCACAACAATGAACTTCCGAATTTTAACGTTTTGCATGAGAGTAAGTACTGCAGTAGGTCACAAGCGAGTGATAAATCTTATATTTCAGTGTATCGTGTCTATTCTGTGCATCTTTATATTGTCACGTGTTGGGTATGTCACGCGATAAATAAATTCACGTGGGTCTCGGATTCAGCGAATCTTTATTGGACACTCACACTTATACACCGTACAATTATCACCTTAACTGTGTTCCGCGGCGGCTACCTTCCAACCGTCTTGTATGGCGACTAGATCTCAACTGTCTTCAGCGGCAGCTTCCTGAAGACTGATTTCTGTATCTCTCGGCGTCTATCCTGAGACTGTCTTCTTCGACGGTTATTTCCAGACTGCCTGGCGAATGCATTCAACCCCTTTTTATACCCTCGGCCGCTGCTATGCAAATGAATTCTCTGTTATAACCGTGGAAACGCTGCTTTGTTGATTCTGCGATTCCTACGCAACGACCCACTGTTATTGCATTGTCTCTGTGGGAGACCGTGGAGATTCGACGCTCTCGACGCAACGGCTCACTGTTGTTGCGTTACTATGGAAGTGTCTTTTCCAAACACGTTAAAATATTATTTCGACGTAGATATCTGGAACTTTGTTAGTATTTATTACGGAACGTGACTTAATTTTTGAAGATCTGGAAATCATATTTCATTTTCAAACTTTCAAGAAGAGGGCGTCAGTATGATAAAATACGCCCACTGAGACTCTTAAGAATATATTTAGTTATATGGCCAATATCATAATTTCCTGGATATACAATTATTTTATTAATCTAGTTTATAGAACTATAAATTATTAGATCTTCATTTTTCCCATAAATATTATAAATATAATTAATACATCTTCCTTCCAAAGGAAGGGAGAAGAATGACGTATGCCCTTGTGTTCCTTTTATCCCCCCACTTTATGCTATTAATAAGGGAGCATAAAGAGTATTCGTTCTCATACATTCATTCATTCACCCATTCATCAATGGTTCTAAAATCCTTTATTGGACCATAGCCTCTTCTTCTGTTTCTTTTTTCCTTGGCACTGCAGCCCCAGTGGGCCTAGGCCTACCTCCATGTTCTTCTCCGTTCACTTCGGTTTTTCTAGATCTTACACATTTGGTAGGACTCCTTGGGCGGGTGATCAGCTCGTCGCAAGGCCTCTACCTGTACACAAACACAGAAAAACGCACACACACACAAACTAAACATCCATGCCCTGGGTGGGATTCGAAACCACGATCCCGGTTTCCAAGCGAGCGAAGACAGTACCTGCCTTAGACCGCTCGCCTACCGTGACCGGTACCTTCTTCTATTTAGTAATCTTTATACACAGTTGAGTATGAGGGGTGGGCCATAAAAACCTACCCTCGCACCTCGACCTTCAATGATCTATTGTGCTTCCTTTATACACAGTTCGTAGGACACCTTAGAACAGTGATCAGCCAGTCGCGACGTGGCTACCAACACACAAGACAACACAAACACAGAAAAAACACACACGCAGACATCCATGCCTGGAATGGGATTCGAATTCAAGATCCCAACTTTATAGCGAATAAAGACAGTTAATGCAATATACCGCGAGGCCACTGTGACCAGCATAGAGAGTATACACAAACTGAAAATGTAGAGGCAACAGCAATGCGAAAGAACCAGAATTTTTGCACTGTATACTCGCACACATTAACTAACTTGCGTAATATCCTATTCAGTGTACCTGCGCCAATACGCTGGTCTCTGTATGTGTGCATTTGTGTGTCCATGAGTGGAAAGGGCGTCTGACAGAATCGTAAATCACCGCTAAGCAGATTCGATTTTCTATAGTATTCTTCCTATGAATTAAAATCTCTATTATAATTTATTCAACAGCATTGTTTTCTTACAATTACGTCATTTATTTACCCTCGCCGGTTTTTTACTGCTAGTGGGGTGGGACTAAGTCCCTTGTACTGAGGCCACTTCTGGCCTATTGTACCAGCCCCAGATGATAGGTGAGGGTGATTGTGGAGCAATTAGTGTAATGAAGATTGGCAGGGCAAACCGAAGTACTCGGAGAAAACCTGCCCCAGAGCCACTTCGTCCACTACAAATCCCACCTGACCAGACCCGGGATCGAACCCGGGCCGCCGCGGTGTGAAGCCAGCGACTAGCCGCTTGAGCTATGGCGCGGCCTTACCCTCACCCTTCCTTTTCTTACAGGAACAGTGTCATAAATAATTAATAAGTATGTTTTGTGTGAACGTATGTGACAGCCACTCTTTCATGTTCCAAAGTATTTCTTTCACATGCAACAAAATCTGTGGTTACATATATAAATAGCATGTTGTATGGTTAGACAGGCACTTAGCCTTGTTCGAATTCCTTAATAGATTGGCACGGATGGTACAAGAAACAAGAAGTTCTGCGAAGAATTAATCGCCTACTTTACTTTTAAATGACATAGCATATAAAAAGAAAAAAAGGGGGACAGACAGATTGACAGCAAGGTAATCTCATGACCTACTTGATACGACACGGACCACAAAGAGAACAAAAAATAGGGGAACACACAGAGAGCAAAATGATCTCATAATATGCACAAGAAATTCTGGCCATAACTAATTTCCTACTTTCATATGATACGTTACGGACAGCGTACAAAACAAAAGGAATTAAAGGGGGACAAACAGACAACAAGGTGATCTCATAAGCCTCATAAAATTTAAAGGCTGGTTACACATACAGACGGATACACAGACACAGACGAACACACAAAGAGAAACAGATGGCTACACGGACAGGGAACAAGGTAATCTGATAAGCCTTCTTTCAGTGATAAAAGTAGATATTAATAGATACTGAGACCCGATACATCTTTTATATGCACCCTATAATACTGAAGTCTGATGCTGTAAAGATTTCAAGCTACAGATTCATGTGACAACATATCACCGCTTTAAAATTTGATGGATTGAATAGTTTACGATGGCATAAAGTAGAAAAGAACAAAACCGACTCAGTTCATACCACTTCTCTCGGCTTCCTATTGGCTGGTTTTATTTATAAGGACAAATATAGGACGAGCTCTATCGATTGGGCCCAACTGAGTAGGTTCCACCTGAAGACGGAGACAGAATCTAGTCTCCGAAACGTTTTGTGTTCTATATAAAAACAGGACGATTGATAATGTCTAGGAACACAATAATTGTGTTAATGTACCATCGTCGCAAAATGTTAGATATTGTTTGTTTTATATTAGCTCCAGATCACATGTTCTTCCTCCTTCCTTATTCGTCCTTCAGCATCAACGTATATTTTCAGCACTACATGAATTCAGAGAGCGATAATTCGACAGCAAAAAGTATAGACCTAAGAACGAGGCAAGTCAGGCTCAGACATCTCTCTGAAACATATAAATATTGTTATAATATTGCAGGAATATTGAGTTCAGAGTATTCAGCATGAAGGGTATACAATTGGACCCTACCGCATGCAACGTAACAATGCAGTCTCCATTGACCCATTTCATTAAATTTAGGCCTGTTACGATCTTATACCAACTTTCCTCGTGCTCCGAAAAGTTTTCTTGACGTGACGTAACATCAAACGTACATATTAATTTGCTCGACCTCTTAAATTTACCGCATTTTATTTAATTGTTTATAAAGGTTGGGATTTAATTCGGTTAATTCTTGTCAGCTGTCTAAAAACGTAAATATTAAAATAAACAAAACTGTAATTTTGCCTGTACGAAGGGGGATCCCAAAAACCCGAATTTGTTTCTAGAAGGCTGGCCGCTTGTAGTACAGGCTTCCGCCGCTAGGTGGTTGTTTGCAGCACCTCCCTGAATCAGTATGCCGGCTGGTGTCGTTAGAGAAGTTTTCTTTAGTGTTTGGTGAATTTTTTTCCAAGTGATTTTTTTGTAAATCGTCTATTATTTAACGGCTGATTCACACGAACAACGTGCTGCTGTGAAATTGTGTTTCCTTTTGGAGAAAACAGCAGCAGAAACTATTATTATGCTACAAACAGCCTACAAGGAAGCGGCCATGAGTAAAACACAAATTTACGGATGGTTCTGCCGTTTCAAACATGGTGAAATTTCAACCGATGATGAACCTCGAAGTGGACGTCCTTCGACCGCCCGAACTGATGAAAATGTGACAAAAATTCGTCAAACCATTCTGGAAGATCGCCGGCGGACGATTGACGAACTCGTAGAGCTTACTGGGATCGCATGGAGTTCCTGTCAGCGAATTTTAACCGAAGAACTGCACATGAAACGACTTGCAGCGAAGTTCGTGCCTCGCCTGCTCACTCCAGGTCAGAGAGACAATCGCCTGGCTGCATGCCGTGCTTTGAAGGAGCACTTGGAAACCGATCCTGATTTGTTTCCCAAGGTCATAACTGGAGATGACTCTTGGTGCTACGGTTACGATCCTGAAATAAAGCGGCAGTCCAGCCAATGGAAAGGTCCCAATTCTCCATGTCCCAAAAAAGCACGACAAGTGAAGTCAATTGTGAAAACAATGCTCATTTGCTTCTTCGATTCCAGGAGCGTCGTGCATTCAGAATTTGTACCCCAGGGTCAAACAGTTAACCAGAACGATTATTTGGAAATTTTGAAAAGATTGCATAACAGTTTAAGGAGAAAAACATTCCTATTTATGACAAACAGGTGAATGAATCTTTCATCATGACAACGCGCCTACCCACACAGAGCTGAGTGTGAAGCGATTTTTGACCAAAATGGCATGACACCCTTGCCTCACCCTTCGTACTCACCCGATCTTGCTCCGTGCGACTTTTTTATTTCCTCGGATGAAAAGAGACCTCAAGAGAAATTGTTTTGCTGATGCTGAATGCGTAAAGAAAG